ATCACGGTGGACCACTACCATCACGGTGAACCACCATCAGGGTGAACCACTACCATCAGGGTGAACCACTACCATCAGGGTGGACCACTACCATCAGGTGAACCACTACCCATGGTGAACCACTACCATCAGGGTGAACCACTACCATCAGGGTGAACCACTACCATCAGGGTGAACCACTACCATCAGGGTGAACCACTACCATCATGATGCCACTACCATCATGATGCTACCATCATGATGAACCACTACTATCAGGGTGGACCCTACCACCAGGGTGAACCACTACCATCAGGGTGGACCACTACCATCAGGGTGAACCACTACCATCAGGGTGAACCACTACCATCAGGGTGAACCACTACCATCAGGGTGAACCACTATCATCAGGGTAGACCACTACCATCAGGGTGAACCACTACCATCAGGGTGAACCACTACCATCAGGGTGAACCACTACCATCAGGGTGAACCACTACCATCAGGACCACTACCATCAGGGTGAACCACTACCATCAGGGTGAACCACTACCATCAGGGTGAACCACTACCATCAGGGTGAACCACTACCATCAAGGTGAACCACTACCATCAGGGTGAACCACTACGTCAGGGTGAACCACTACCGTCATGGTGAACCACTACCGTCAGGGTGAACCACTACCGTCATGGTGAACCACTACCGTCAGGGTGAACCACTACCATCAGGGTGAACCACTACCATCAGGGTGAACCACTACCATCAGGGTGAACCACTACCACAGGGTGAACCACTACCACCAGGGTGAACCACTACCATCAAGGTGAACCACTACCATCAGGGTGAACCACTACCATCAGGGTGAACCACTACCATCAGGGTGAACCACTACCATCAGGGTGAACCACTACCATCAGGGTGAACCACTACCATCAGGGTGAACCACTACCATCGGTGGACCACTACCATCAGGTGAACCACTACCATCAGGGTGAACCACTACCGTCATGGTGAACCACTACCGTCAGGGTGAACCACTACCGTCATGGTGAACCACTACCATCGGTGAACCACTACCATCAGGGTGAACCACTACCATCAGGGTGAACCACTACCATAGGGTGAACCACTACCACCAGGGTGAACCACACCATCATGATGAACCACTACCATCATGATGACCCACTCCATCGATGAACCACTACCATCAGGGTGAACCACTACCACCAGGGTGAACCACTACCATCACGGTGAACCACTACCATCAGGGTGAACCACTACCATCAGGGTGAACCACTACCATCAAGGTGAACCACTACCATCACGGTGAACCACTACCATCAGGCGAACCACTACCATCAGGGTGAACCACTACCATCAGGGTGAACCTACCATCAGGGTGAACCACTACCATCAAGGTGAACCACTACCATCAGGGTGAACACTACCATCAGGACCACTACCATCAGGGTGAACCACTACCATCAGGGTGAACCACTACCATCACGGTGAACCACTACCATCACGGCGAACCACTACCATCAGGGTGAACCACTACATATCCAGCCCTCTCCTTGTTCTTTCCATCTCATTCGTGTTCTCTTTTTTCATTCCTTTACATCTCTATGATTTCTTTCATTCTCATTTTTCAATTCCAGTTTAATTTATCAATCTCTCAATCTTCCTTCTCTGTCTCTCTCTCTGTGTATTTAGGTGTCCAATACTCAGGTTAGGTTAGGTTAGGTTAGGTTAGGTTAGGTTAGGTCAGGTTAGGTTAGGTTAGGTTCCTTTAAGTAGATAAAATTATCTTGTCATCACGGTATTGTCGCCATATTATTATTATTATTATTATTATTATTATTATTATTATTATTATGACAATTCTTGTGTCATTCAAAAGGATTTCTGGTGTAATGCAACGGTGTGAAGTCCCAATGATGACGAGAGAGGAGAGGGAGGAGAGAAGGGAGGAGAGGGAGGGAGAAAGAGGGGTGAGGGAGGAGGGAGAGGGAGAAGGGTGAGGAGAGAGGAGGAGAGAGGGAGAAGAGGGTGAGGGAGGGAGAGGAGAGAGGAGAGGGTGAGGATGGAGGGGGAGATGGAAGAGGGTGAGAAGGAGGGTGAGGAGGGCAGGGGAAAGAAGGAGAGAGGGTGAGAAGGGAGGGTGAGGTGAGGAGAGGGAGAGAGAGGGGTGAGAGAGAGGAGAGGGGGAGGAGGGAGAGAGGGTGAGGGAGGGAAGGGTGAGGGAGGGGCGGGGGGTAGAAGGAGAGAGAGGTGAGAAGGGAGAGTGGAGAAGAACGTATATGTAAAACGCTAAACAGGAGAACCTAACTTCCCTACCCACATTCTTCCCTTGTGAGAATGTGTAATAATTAAAAGCCAAGCATTCATAAGATAACAAGACGCTACACAGGTTCTGCCTCCTCACACCACTATAAAGAACGTAGGGTTTTGTTCAATAGTTGTCCTGGTAACGACGACCTACGATAACTGTGAATCAGGTCAAATATAGTGTTGTTTGTTATTGTAGATGATAAAACTGACCGAGCCATAATGTAATAAACAAGGCCTGGATAACAATGGCTTTAATCTTTAACAATGATGATTTAACCCTTTGAGGATGATGATTTAACCCTTTGAGGATGATGGTTTAACCCTTTGAGGAAGATGGTTTAACCCTTTGAGAACCATGATTTAACCCTTTGAGAACCATGATTTAACCCTTTGAGGATGATGGTTTAACCCTTTGAGAACCATGATTTAACCCTTTGAGGATGATGGTTTAACCCTTTGAGAACCATGATTTAACCCTTTGAGAACCATGATTTAACCCTTTGAGGATGATGATTTAACCCTTTGAGGATGATGATTTAACCCTTTGAGGACGATGGTTTAACCCGTTTAATCTATCACTTTGAAATGACTAATTAGAAGCCTAAAATAAACCTAATCTAACCTTACCGAACCCTGAATGACCAGCATTTCCCCCAGTACGTGAGCACCATATTAGTTTTTCATCTGATGAGTGATATGTGACTCCTTTTTTTATGAAATTATATGTAACTTTTATATGCAATTTATTTCATACATGTTAATGGTAAAATAAAAAGTTAATTAAATATATTACCTGTATTCAAAGAAACTTAATAAATATTTTACCTGTAAAAGAGGGATTTAGACCACCTGATTTTCTCCCAACATTCGACTGGTTACGTATTTTTAATGTCCAACAAAAATCTCGTCCGTCCATTTACCTGGGTGGAAAAGAAAAAAGTTTACTTCAGATATTTTTCGAAAAAGTAACATGTATGTAATTTAGTTTCTTTATTGTTATTTTTTTCGTAAACTTAAAATATGCATAAATAGTTTTTTCGTGGAATTTTTCTCATTAGGGAAATTTTTAAAAGACTTACAGTATAGTTATTTGAATTTACCTACTTCGACCTTCGTATTAAACCAATCAAGAAAAAAAATTCTTCTCCCTTAAAACACAATCTTACACCCTAAAAAATAAATAAATAAAAGCTTCAAAATAACTAAACAACAGATCTACTTTTATTTTCCTCCCCATTTACTTATTTTCCGCTTTTGTTTCTACCTAAGATATTGTGGCGCCGTTTTCTGTGAGGAGTATAGTTTCCCCCCCGACATTGACTGGATAATGGTTTATTGGCGTCGGGGAGGGAGATGAAGGAGCCTTTCTGTGGGACGGGGATATTATTTAACATTATCTTGTAATTCTTAAAGGTAGCGAGATTATTTAACATTTAAATAGTGAAAAAAATTTACAATCCCCTGTAGAGATAATATTTACAATCCCCTGTAGAGATAAAATTTACAATCCCCTGTAGAGATAATATTTACAATCCCATAATAACAATACTAACACCTACTGTACAACGGTGACACCCATTCTGCATCTAGCCTAACTTAACAATACGTAGCTTAACCTCACCTCAGCCCACCCACCCCCCCCCCCTTTAAACGCCTACCTCACATCTTAAACTCACCTCTACCCCTTCACTTCACCTCACCTCACCTCACCTCACCTCACCTCCACGGCGTAGCTTCAAAACAACAATTATCAAAGTGTCATCAGTGAGTCTTGGCGAATCAGAAGTTCTTAATATGCCTAATAGGAATTGATACCTGAGACTTTGTGGGCCCCCGGGTGATGGCCAGGAGGAGGAGGAGGAGGAGAAGGAGAGAGAAGAGGAAAGAGAAGAAGAGGGGGAGTGGATGATAAAGAATAGACGAGTCACAGATGGTTTATTAACGGATAAATAAGACAAACAGAAAGACATGTTGTGTGCTGTAATAAAATAATGATGGATACATACAGGTCAAGGGAAAATATATCATAGTTGACTAAACAAACTCGATTCAATTTTCTCTTCATAAATCTAATCACCAAACTCCAACAGTAAGACGACAGATACACACACACACACACACACACACACACACATATATATATACTACATATATTCTGGTATAGCAGCTGCCTGGAATATATAAATAAATATAGTCAGCTGTCAGTATATTAGTTCAGGAGAAATTACACATAAACATTTCACTTTAGACTTTAATGTGAAGGATATGTTACAAGTTTCATCCTTAACCTTTGGTGTTGATTGGGATATATTATGGTTTAGTGAGGATATATTCTGGTATAATTTATCCAACATTAAGGATATACTCAGTAACCTTGGATATGTGTGTGTGTGTGTGTGTGTGTGTGTGTGTTTCACCTTTTAAGATATATTAGTGTTTTTGTATTTATTTTTTAAATTCGTGTTTCATGTTTTACAATGCTAATGTTATTTTTTCGTGTTTTTACTGATATTAATGTTTTTTTTTTTTGGGGGGGGTTATTTCTACTCTACTATTGTTAACTTATTCCTGTGTTTTATTTTTGGTTTATTTTACTTATTTATTCTGTTTAATCCCGGTTTTATTTATGGGTTATCATTGTTTATGGTTTAATCTTGGTTTATTAATCTGTGTTTCTTCGGTGTTTCAGTTCTATGGATGTCACCGTCCTCAGCAGGGTGGTGACGGCTTGGTGAGGCGTCGGTTTATGTGTACTGGTGATCTACGCTTCCACCCTACCCTGAGGTGAGCTCCGTGTGTGTGTGTGTGTGTGTGTGTGTGTGTGTGTGTCCCACTGAATCACTCACGTCATGACTTCATCAATACATACGCCCCAACACTGGATGCAGAGGATGACATCAAGGAGGCCTTTTATGTCGACCTCGAAAGCGCTAACCTCTATCCCCAGAGAAGATAAGGTTGTGCTCCTTGGTGACTTCAATGCCAGAGTTGACAGAGATGCTGACATTTGGCAGGGAACCATAGGGAGAAATGGACTAGGCAAGTGTAATCCCAACGGCCTACTCCTCCTCACCAAGCGTGCTGCACACAACCTCATTATCACCAATACCTTGTTTAGGCAGGCTGACAAATTCAAGGGTTCGTGGCAACACCCACGATCCAAACACTGGCATCTCATTGACTACATCATTGTCAGAGAAAGAGATCGATGAGATGTCCTCATCACCTGAGCCATGCGTGGCTCAGACCACTGTGACATTGATCATCGGCTCGTCAGAGCCAAGCTCTCACTTCATGTCGCCCCAAAACGGCGAAGGCAGCAAGCCTCCAGAAGAGGTTTTAACAATAAGCGTCTGGAGGATCCAGCGGTACCACATGCTTTCAGAGAGCAGCTCGAACATGGGCTGATAAACAACCCAACAGCAAACAACGTGAATCCCAGTGTCGAATGGGGGTATTCTCAGCACTGTCAAGACAAAATCCTGCAGAGAGATCCTCGGCCAGATCGAAAGAATACACCAGGACTGGTTTGATGAAAATGACCTGGCAATCAATGTACTCATCGATGATAAACGTGCTGCTTTTACTGACTGGCAGAACAACCCTCAGTCTCGGACCAAAGCTGATACCTTCTGCAAGAAGAGAGCGGAAGCCCAGAGGGAACTTCGCAATCTAAAGAACGACTGGCTTAAAAATAAAGCATGTGAAATGTAAACCTTGCAGATTAACACAAGACCCGTGAATTTTTCAGGTACACTAAAACATTTTATGGGCCAATCACTGATGGCGCAGCCTCCCTCCACTCATCCGATGGTAACTTCCTGATTAAAGACGATGAAGGCCTCCTTCAGCACTGGAAAGAGCACTACCACTCGCTGCTCAATCAAAATACCGTTGTGTATGTCTTGACTACCCAGTAGGTCCCTCAGCATCCAGTGCTGACCCACCTCAACTATCCTCCATCCCTGGATGAGGTAGCTACTGCCATTAAACAGGTGAAGAATTACAAAGCCTCAGGGCCTGATGGAATCCCAGCCGAGGTGCATAAAGCAGATGGACCTCTGCTTACCAGCCGTCTCCACTCTCTCCTGGAGAATATATGGGGGGGGGGGAAATATTCCCCAAGCTCTTAAAGATACCACCATCGTCAGTATTTATAAGAACAAAGGAGACCGGTCAGCCTGTGGCAACTACCGTGGGATCTCACTGCTGTCTGTAGCTGGCAAGATCATCGCCCGAGTCCTCTTAAACAGACTTCTTCCTGAGGCAGAAAACTTCCTCCCAGAATATCAACGTGGCTTTAGACCATCACGTGGCACCACTGACATGATCTTTGCTGCCCACCAGATCCAGGAAAAGTGCAGAGAACAACGTCGTGACTTGTACATGGCCTTCATCGACCTAACCAAGGCCTTCGACTCAGTCACCAGGGAAGCCCTCTGGTGGACCCTCAGCCGTTTTGGCTGCCCACCAAAATTCATCGCCATTGTGAGGCAACTCTACGATGGCATGGACGGCAGTGTCCTGCACAATGGCACCCAGTCTGAGTTCTTTCCCATCCAAACAGGGGTTAAACAAGGATGTGTACTGGCACCAACTCTCTTTTCCATTTTCTTGGCTGCCTTCTTTACTCGTGCCAGTGCCAATTTAGCCCACCGGGGTGGACATCCAGTACCGGGTGAAGGGTCTTTTCAACATAAGACGACTCCAGGTAGGAACAAAGGTGTCGACAGCTTCCATTACTGAACTTCAGTATGCAGACGACCTCACCCTTGTTGCTCACACTGAGCACGACCTACAGGAGATCCTGAACACCTACGCAGATGCGCTTGTACACTTCGGCCTTGGGGTGAATGTGCGTAAGACTCAGTTTCTCTTTCAGCCTGCCCCTGGGTCAGACACACCTCCACCATCCATCCAGCTTAACGGTACTACACTCTCTAATGGGGGTAGGGTACGATTCAGCGCCGCCATTCCAGCACCGATGTTTCAGCACCGCCGTTTCAATGCCAGCCCATTTCAGCGCCAGCCCATTTCAGCGCCAGACTATTCAGCGCCAGACTATTCAGCACCAGACTATTCAGCGCCAGACTATTCAGCACCAGACTATTCAGCGCCAGACTATTCGGCACCAGACTATTCAGCACCAGACTATTCAGCGCCAGACTATTCGGCACCAGACTATTCAGCACCAGACTATTCAGCGCCAGCTATTCGCGCCGAACTGTAGCCAGCGCCAGACTATTCAGCGCCAGGCTTATTCCAGCGCCGAACTATTCGGCGCCGAACTATTCGCGCCAGACTATTCAGCACCGGGCGACTATTCAGCACCAGACTATTCGCGCCGAACTATTCAGCGCCGAACTATTCAGCACCAAACTGTTCAGCACCAGCGAACTATTCAGCGCCGAACGCTATTCAGCGCCGAACTATTCAGCGCCGAACTATTCAGCACCAGACTATTATTCAGCACCAGACTATTCAGCGCCAGACTTCATTAAGCGCCAGCGGAGCTATTCAGCACCAGGCTTCTGTTCGGCGCAGAACTATTCCAGCGCGCCAGACTATTCAGCGCCAGACTATTCAGCACCACCAAATCAATAATTTATTCAAAGAATCATACATATGTATGAGATTGGTTTATTTAATTAAAAATTAAAAAAAACATTTAAAATCGTTTAAAAGAAAAGGTTAGCTTTATTTTTAGTGTGATAAATTGTGCGCAATTGCACGCAGATATTCTACTTCATTTCAGCTCCCATATTCAGAAACAATTTTTAATATTCTTTCATCTGCTTTTCTGCATTTCAGTAATTTGGGTTGAGGTTCATGCCCAGCTGAAAGGTTCTCGAAATATTCAACCCGTCCTTTTCGGACTCGTTTAAGAGCATGGATGAAGTTCCATATGGTTGGTTGCAACAGTTGGCCTCGTAGTCGTCTGTTTGCAGCCTCAGCATGGTTATTGGTTTTATCTTCTCCTTGTAAAGTTCGTTGGTACATGTCCCTCATCTCTGTGGGGAACAACGGTTGTCTTCTCCCAGTTCCTCTCCGGTATGGACGACCAATATAAAAGTCTTCAAACCAATTTAAAAGCGGAACCAATTCTCCAGACAAGTCCGTTGCAAGAGCATCCACGTGACGGTCAATGTCATCATTTGGTACACGTTAATGAAAGACAGATAGTTTCCGAGTTGAACGGAACGCACAGGCGCTGAAAGGTCTCGGCGCTGAATAGTCTGGCGCTGAAACGGCGGCGCTGAAACGGCGGCGCTGAATTGGGCCATACCCTTCTAATGTTATCCACTTTCGGTATCTCGGTTTCCACCTGTCCACCTCCGCAAACATCGATGAAGAGATTCAGCATCGAATCAGATGTGCATCTCGAGACTTTGGCAGACTCCAAAGCCGTGTCTTCAGCTATAAGGTGCTGAAATTATCTACAGAACTGCACGTATATCGAGTAGTGGTCCTACCCACCCTGCTATAATGCTATATGGCAGTGAGACTTGGGTCACATACAGGAGGCACCTCAAGGTACTAGAAAACTTTCACCAACGTAGTCTACGTTCCATCCTCCGAGTTCACTGGGAAGATAAGAGAACTAATGCCAGTATTCTTGCTGACACCAACAGTAGGAGCATCGAGGCTACCGTTATCCATGAACAACTACGCTGGACTGGCCAGACAGTAGACTGCCAAAGCAGCTATTTTACAGTCACCTAACGAATAGTAAACGTAACGCCGGTTGGCAATTGAAAAGGTATAAGGATAGTCTTAAGACAAACCTGAAAAAGTGCCAAATCGACCCCTTCACCTGGGAGTCGATCACTCCACAGCGTAACACTTGGAGGAGCACCACACGAAAAGGTTTCAATACTTACGAGTTAGCCCGACTGCAAACCGAGGCAGATAAGCGCCAACGCCGGAAAGACTGCCGGTCCCGTGTCGGCCTCTTTAGTCACCTCAAAACTCACCAACCTAGGTGACATCCTTAATAACTCATATCATTGTATCATAGCTGGATGATCGTCATACTTGATTCCGGGTGACAGCAAAGTAGTAGTAGTAGTAGTATGTGTGTATGTGTGTGTGTGTGTGTGTGTGTGTGTGTGTGTGTGTGAGAGTGTGTGAGTGTGTGTGTGTGTGTGTGTGTGTGTGTGTGTGTGTGTGTGTGAGAGAGAGAGTGTGTGTGTGTGAGTGTGTGTGTGTGTGTGTGTGTGTGTGTGTGTGTGTTACTATACCACTCACCACCACCATCTCCCCTCTCCACCAGGTACTGCACCTACAAGACGGAAGTCCCGGACAAGCTGTGTAACAACAGCGTCTCCAACCAACAGATCATTGGACACGACCACACCCGGACCACCACCACCAAGTCCACTCCTACTACCACCACCACCACAACTACCACCACTACCAGACCTACCACCACTGCTACTACTCCTTCTACCACCACAGCCGCCGCCCCTGTTGCTGGTGGTGGTAGGGATGATATTCCTAACCTCGTCCGGGATTCGAACACAAGACCTGTCTCTGACTTGACTGATATTGAAAGAATCACTCAGGTCATTAAAGGTCAATTATTGAATAGGAATAAGTCTAACAACAGAGGCACATCCCGAGACTGAAGAATAACTACTACCCCTGACGCTACTACCCCTACCACTACTACCACAACCCCTACCACTAGTACTACCACTACTATTACCCTCACCACCACTACCCACTAATATCCATTACTACCATTGGACCACGACCAGAACAACACTAACCACCACCACCATTGTTACCACACGATTTCTTCATCAGTATCACCATAACCTAACCATCACCACAACCACCAATACAACTACCACCATAACCACCACTTTTACCATTATCCCTCTTACACACACACACACACACACGCACACACACACACGCAAGGTGGAGGTGGTAGCTGTGGTGCCGCATACTCACATCTACCACAAAATATTTCCCCTGCCGAGAGAGAGAGAGAGAGAGAGAGAGAGAGAGAGAGAGAGAGAGAGAGAGAGGCAACAATGGTTCAACAATGGTAAAAATTTTAGTGGTTAAAATGTTACAAGATACATTATAGTCCCAATTTAGTAGTTAGTTAGCCCCTACTAGTTTAATTTATTCACTGTTATTGTTGTTATTGTTAGTGTTATTGTATTGTTATTGTTCAGTTATTTATAATTTTAAAACCCTAATTTATACGGTGTTTGTGTATCTTTAGTAAAGTTAGCACAATAAACGGATTATTTTTATTTACCTGTTAACCTTTATTAATCAAGACTAATTCCCTGAGAGAGAGAGAGAGAGAGAGAGAGAGAGAGAGAGAGAGAGAGAGAGAGAGACAACCACTGCAGTTCATAACTTGTTAATACTCCGCTACACATCACCTTAATTGGCAACGTCAACTACCTGTCATGTTTGGCTGTTGAGTGGCAGCCATCTTGAGGATCACCTCAACATTAGCCTTCAACGTATTTCACCTGATTATTAATCATTCTAACCTAACCTAACCTAACCTAACCCTAACCAAATATAACGTAACTAAACCTAACATAAACGTAACGCAACACTAACTTAACCTAAAGTAAACGTAACCAGATCCTAACCTAACCTAACCTAACCAGATCCTAACCTAACCAGACCCTAACCTAACCTAACCTAACCTAACCTAACCAGATCCTAACCTAACCAGATCCAAACCTAACCAGATCCTAACCTAACCAGATCCTAACCTAACCTAACCAGATCCTATCCTAACCTAACCCATAGGATTCGGGCGGTTAATCAGAAGGTAAAATAAACTGGGGAGGGAGAGAGGGAGGGTAGGGGGGGGACTAATCTTCAGGTGATTCCGTTAATCTTAGTTAATTCGCTTTCCAGAAATCCGTCCTTAATTTGTGTTAAGTTTCAAGTCGATCGGTTGAACAGTTCTTCCGAAACTCCGATCACTGCTTCGATTATCTTCTTGGAGGAGTCGTTTAACGGGACTGAAGTGGGCACAATACTGAGAGAGAGAGAGAGTGTGTGTGTGTGTGTGTGTGTGTGTGTGTGTGTGTGTGTGTGTGTGTGTGTGTCGGTAATAATACACAGAAGAGCATTACTGTACATTACATCAGTTATAAACACAAACGCTATTAATAAAAACACAGAACAACTAATTTCTCCTGGGAAAAATAAATAAATACAAATATAAATAAAAATTAAAATCAAAACAATTAAACAACACTTCCTTCAGTCCTACGACACCTGTATATAAAGGTCGAGCGAGGTGTTATATTCTTTCTGTCTGGTACCACTACAGCAAGCAACCGAGCACCAAGTGATGGACGCACAGTAATGGTGATATTATACAGGGTACAATTGGTGGGTGTGTGTGTGTGTGTGTGTGTGTGTGTGTGTGTGTGTAATAATAATAATAATAATTAACGGTTTATTGAAAGAGCATGGCAGCAGGAAGACAATATACAGTTACATAATTGGGGAATGGGTCACTTGATTGATAAATAATATACAAGTAACATAAGTGATACAAATATGATATATAATAACTAGGTGGGGAGAAGGTCATACTACAGGGCATTTCAACATAGTGACAGTGCAAAAGGTAAGATTGACTGGGAGTGAATACACTGGTTGATTACGAGTTGTTGATAATTTTTACAATGGTTGGGACTGGGCTGTTCTTATAGAGATCAGTTCGTGCTCGTATGGACTGGATGCGGTTGTGGTGTCGAACAGCAATTCGTAGACGAGGGATCTCGAGTGGTAGTAGGAGCCGGTGTCAAGGATGGTGCAGAGCTTCTCACCAAATTTGCAGATGAGGTCGTGGTGATGGTCAGTGAGAGCAGAGAGGGTCAGTGTGTTGAGCGCTTCTTGATATGTGGAGTAGGAAGGGGAGAGAATAATCTTGCATGCCCTCTTTTGCACTTTTTTAAGGTGTTTATGTTGTGTGGCATTTAGGGAGGAAGACCAGACAGGGGAGGCATAAGTGAGATTGAGAAGTATGAATGTTGATTAAACACTGAGGAGCTCGGGCGTAGGAACTCCGAGGGACTTGAGTCGGCGGAGGAGGTGGAGACGGAAGCTGGAGGATTTGACAACTTCAGTGTGTGTGTGTGTGTGTGTGTGTGTGAGAGCTGGACCTGACGGCATTCCTGCTGAAATTTACAAACATGGAGGTCCCCATCTGACTGAGCGCCTCCATAGCCTCTTACTCACCATATGGGCCACAGAGACCATCCCCCAGGAATGGAAAGATGCAAATATCATAACAATCTTTAAGAATAAAGGTAACAAAGCAATCTGTGGTAACAGCAGGGGCATCTCCCTCCTTGTAGTTGCTGGCAAGATCCTGTTAAGTCATGTTATCAAGACTTATCCAACACCTAACGGAGAACACTCTTCCTGAATCCCAATGTGGATTCAGGAAGGATCGCAGTACAATAGACATGATCTTCGCAGCGAGGCAAGTTCAAGAACAGAGTCGAGAGCAAAATGTAGACCTTTACACAGCATTCATTGACCTCTCCAAAGCTTTCGACACAGTAAACAGAGAACTTTTGTGGACTATGTTGGAGAGGGTCGGTGTACCACCAAGATATTTAAACATCCTCTGCCAGATGCTTGATGGAATGCAAGCCCGGGTACTAGTGGGTGGTGTGCAGTCAGAACCATTTAGTGTCCAAATGGGCGTAAAACAGGGCTGTGTGCTGGCACCTGTGTTGTTTAACATTTTTTTGCTGGCTGTAGCACAACTCTCACACAATGCCCTTGGGCCTGAAGCAGGTGTGGGCATACGGTACCGTCTTGATGGTAGCCTTTTTAATATTAGACGTCTGGAAGCCTAAACAAAGACCTTAACAACTCAGGTCATAGAACTACAGTATGCGGATGACTGTGCAATAATGACACGTAACAGAGAATCTTTGCAACGTGCACTGGACGTGATCTCAGGTATTTACAGCTCGCTTGGTTTGTAAATTAACACTCAGAAGACTGAGATTTTTGTCCAGCCCATTGATCCACCAATAGAAGCACCACAATTCTACATTAATGGAGACCCTATCAAAATAGTAACCCAGTGTAAGTACCTTGGTAGCACTCTCACACCCACCTGCTCACTGGATATGGAAATTCAAACCAGAATCAATTTAGCCTCAGCTGCATTTGGACGTTTGAGAACAAGAGTCTTTCTCAACAATGACCTTAAATATGGAACGAAGACTGCAGCTTATCTCGCGGTCTGTATAGCTACATTATTATATGTCTCAGAAACCTGGACGCCCTACAGACGCCATATACAAATGCTGGAAAAGTTCCACACTAGATGCCTTAAGCGTATCCTAGGAAGATAGAGTGACTAGTGAAGAACTATATCGTTGCTCAAACATTGAAACCATGCTAGCCAAAAGACACTTGTGCTGGCTTGGGCCTGTTATCAGGATGCCAGACCACCGGCTTCCAAGACATTATGGCACTCAACATGCCATGGAGGAGCGGAAACACTTGAGACCTCACTGAACCAAAAGAGAGCTACTAAATGAGCCCAACGATATCAGAGGGCTCAAGGCACAATTCCTCTCAATGAACAACATCCCTGTCACCTATTCAACAAGATCTGCGCCTCGAGGATTGGACTCCATAGTCATCTACGGTAGCATCCGAGAAATAACACATAACTCATCAATCATCTGGAGCAACGTCGTCATTGACTTCGATGGACAGCCACAAGCAAGTAAATAAGTGTGTGCGTGTGTGTGTGTGTGTGTGTGTGTGTGTGTGTGTGTGCGTGCGTGTGTGTGTGTGTGTGTGTGTGTGTGCGTGTGCGTGTGTATGTGTGCGTGTGTGTAAGTAGCATCATGTCCTGACCTTACTCTTTACATGCCACCAAATAAACTTCAACTAGGTCACAAATGTCAAGCAATATATAACAGTGGCAAAATAGTCTAGTCATAATATTAATATAACTGACATATCTATTATTACGACAGCGGAGGCAGCACAAGTGACTATGCCTTTGTGAAGATGATAACGGTGCCAGTCCATGTAAAGCTTAGACACCCAAACCTAACCTAACCCCCGCGGTGAAATAATCTTGGGTATCTAAAATTCAGATGAAATAAGCTGGGGTGTCTAATCTTCAGATGAAATAAGCTGGGGTGTCTAATCTTCAGGTGAAATAAGCTGGGGTGTCTAATCTTCAGGTGAAATAAGCTGGGGTGTCTAATCTTCAGGAGCCTCCAGTTACAGCCCACTGCCACTCTCTACCTGCATTACGGGTCAAGGAAGGCAGTGAGTGGAGAGTAACACTGAATGGTCGCCAACAAGACAATGGTGTTGGATATATATAGTGACAGCTGATGTAAACACCACACTTAACCTCAGTGTTTTACTAGGTTCACACACACACACACACACACACACACACACACACACACACACACACACACACACACACACACACACACACACACACACACACACACACACACACACACACACACACACACACACACACACACACACACACACACACACACACACACACACACACACACACACACACACACACACACACATCACACACATACACACAC